TAGCAGATTTAATACGTATTAGATTGACTCAAATACTTTTCATGTTTTTGAAGAACATAAATAGTTCTCTAATCACTGTGTCAAAATTAAAATTAGGCAAGAGCTTTTGACAAGTTAAATTTGACAGGTGTCAGATCGACGTGGTTTTAAGAATGAATTAGACAACCTACAAAGAGGCATGCAACAAAATTGAGATTTATAAATCTCTATAAAATTTTGCTTTCGAAACATGCTGTTACTTTTTATTATTCTCTAGTAACTAGTAACGTTTACCTATTTCGATTATTATGTCAAGTTTTGAAATCTCATATAAATTGTTCTAATATCCTAAGAAAATGACTTTATAACATTTGTGTTTATACCCGATACCGTGTATGGAGAAAACTACTGAATTAAACCTGACCACAGATTAAAATCAAAATAAATAAGATACGTAAATAACTACGATTTGACTTGACACTGGCTGAATTGACTCCGCAAAAGCCATGATAAAATAGTCAGGTTTAAAACAGTAGAATTCTCCATATAATTAGTTTTGTAACGATGTTTGGTGGAATCTAGTTCTCGATTCACATCCACAACCATTGTACGATGTTACTAAGAATCGATTTGATCAATGCAATTTTGTTTTTACCAAGACACGATTGGAAATTCCAATACTAAGTAAGTACTATGAAGTCAAAAGTTGCAAAAGTCCGTTTTTGGACTTAGTGACTTTTGCCCTTCGACCATCTAAATCAGCGTTAATTTAAAAACAAACGCACTATACGATATACGTCAAACACGACGCCAATAATATTCGGCCTTTTAAAACTGATTTGGCCAAAATAGTAATAAAAAAATCTCTTGTCAAACTTGCATTGATCTTATCGGTCCCCTGCATCAACCAACGACTTCCATACACAGAATCATCAGTTTTATAGGGGGTGTGTTAGACCACGCTAAAAAGACGACTGCCATTAATGCTGATTAATACGGGTGTAAGGGACGGCCTACCGAAAGCTCATGTGTCGGTAAATGAAAAATTTTTTTTTGCTTCTCATACAGTCAGCCAGCCGATAGAGAGGTTTTTTCGTTTACCACCATATGTTCCAAAAGGAAATTTGTTAAGTTTCATTGTCTGAGCACGCCTGCAAAGTTTTCTTTACACCGTCCCTTACACCCCGCATAATCGTCTACTTAGCTCGGCCGATGTGTGTGTGATACTTATCAACGGGCGAACAACCCACCCGTATGGTCGGCGGCGGCGTACTCCGCGGTCAGCAGCGGATTGGCGGCCGCAGTCAGCGCTGCGTAGTTCGCGTAGTCAGCGTACGGCGACGCGTAGATCAGCTGGTGGGCTGGCTCGCCTGGGGAGAGTAGGCCGGCGGCGGCCCCGGCGCCCGAGCCATTGAGTAGTCCCTGCTGTGGGCCGGCGGACATACGAGGCGACAATATCAGTGGGGCGCCTAGGGGTGCTTGCGTGCGTAAAGCGATGCCGCCGGCGCCGCCGCCGGGCGCTAAGAGTCGCTGCGTCTCGGCTGCGGCGGCTGCGACGCGCCGCCACTCTTCGTCGGCTGTGGAACACTCAATGCTGTATTTCTGTTCGATGTAAACGGACTGGGAGTAACAAGAGGGTATAACAAGCCGAAAGGAGGTAAAGGTACTCATGAAATTAAACAACTTTTCCACTGAACATGGGTAGAAATATGAAAAACATTGGACCTCCCATACAAAATCGCCAATCAGCTGATTAATTTATGAAATAGAAATATTTTTTTAGAAATAGAAATAGAATATTTCCTCCTTTCCTTGATTTCCTTTCGGCTTATTATACCTAACCTTCTGTTACTAGCCCGGACATCCTTTATGCTTCATATGGTTTTTGGTGTACTTATGTGATTGTTTGCCAACGATAATGGTTCATTATGAATTGTGAAAAGTGCATGCTCATAAATTCCCCAAAAAGAAAAAGAAGAACGTGCAATAGAATGTAAGTTCCGAAAGGCGCTCTTACATTTCTTTGATCTTCCGAACCGAATAGTATTATGGACAGTCCCTGCAAACTTGTCAACTTATATTCTCTTCCATTTCACTGTAGGGTTTGTTTGCGCCTCGCAAAAGCCTCCCAATTCCTTCCATTTCTCTCTGTGAACTTGATTGGTCTTCGTGTTTACTTTCCATACATCTTTGACTTTACATTACTCCCTTCTTAGCCCAAAAAAGCCTGACCTACTTTGTTTCACTGCTGGACAAAGGTCTCTCCGTTTTAAATTGACCATGAAAGTTCTGACTTACACTTTTGAATCCCCACCGCTTTTTAGTCCATAAAACCTATTCCACTGCTGAGAAAATTTCGCTCCTTCTAGACATGCGCCCTAAATTATGGTGGACGCTGACTTTCAAAGCCCAAAAAAACCTCATTTAGTTTGTGCAACTGCCTTTGTTTGCCTATTATTGTTTTGTGAGTTGAGCAAAGAATTGAAATTTATCTCTGCTCTCTTTCGCACTCGTTTCTTCCACTGCTGGCCCAAGGCCCCCCATTTCAGACATGCGTCCTAGATTATATTTTTCTGGCATTTTAGCCATTACTGCCTCCTTCTAAGCCCCAGCAAAAAAAAGTAAAAAGCCTAACCTAGTTTGTTCCACTGGTGGGCAAAGGCCTCCCCCTCCGCATTGCGTTGGCCCTTTCAGACATGCGACCTACATTATATTTTACTGACATTTTAACCCTTACAGCATCCTTCTAAGCCCCAAAAAAAAAGTAAAATGCCTAACCTAATTTGTTCCACTGGTGGGCAAAGGCCTCCCCTTTCAGACATGCGTACTAGATTATATTTTACTGGCATTTCAACCCTTACTGCCTCCTTCTAAGCCCCAGCAAAAAAAAAGTAAAAAGCCTAACCTAGTTTGTTCCACTGGTGGGCAAAGGCCTCCCCCTCCGCATTGCGTTGGGCCTTTCAGACATGCATTCTAGATTATATTTTACTGGCATTTCAACCCTTACAGCATCCTTCTAAGCCCCCAGCAAAAAAAAAGTAAAAAGCCTAACCTAGTTTGTTCCACTGGTGGGCAAAGGCCTCCCCCTCTGCATTGCGCTGGGCCTGTTTTTCTTGCTCTTGCGTGAGATCGTAACACCACTCGTAGCCATCTAGATAAGCATTCACAGAATAAGGATCAGTGCGTTCGGAATTTAAAAAGAAAAGTCAATAGGGAAGTCGCTACTACAAACATTATAAAGAAAAGTCAATAGGAAAGTCGCTACTATTGCGTTCATAGTCTGAAACATTGACTGAACACAGTTTAATTTAGAGATAAGAATATTGAGAGGCCTTCAAAAATGGCTAGGAGTTTCCCTTGCTACTGTTGGAAATTGTTCTCAATCTAAATACTTGTTCCCGCGTAGAAGATAGAAGAGATACCAAAATAATTTACAAATAAAGATTTCTCCCAAATTCGAAAAGCAGCCCCAACACTCCCTTTTTGACACCAAGCCCAAAGAAAAAAGAACTCCCATAAGCCACCGAAAAAACCCATAGTTAGAAACACCATAACATGCTACAAAAGGTTCAAATCTATTAGTCACCATTTCAGTCTTGTGATGACTCAGTTTGGCAAACAATAGGAAAACACACTTATGAAACATAATGTATTTGTACAAAGGTATGTAACTCATGTATTTTCAGTAATCTTTCATGAGAAGAATAATAATGAAATCCCAAGAAATCAATTAATACTGACCAGATCTGGCAAATGTTTTTAGTTCAGTTAAAAAACAAACAAGGTAAAAAAAGTGATTTAACGAGAATAAATATAAGGAAAATACGTACATAGCCAAATTAGGTCAATATGTTTGGCCGAAATAAGTCTGCATATAACGAGCGTCTATCCAAATACATACATGGATGATGTAATGGTAAAAACGTGTGTGATAATAATTTGTCTATCATCACACTATGCACTTTAAACAGGATATTTTTTGTCCAAAAGATGAACTTATAAAAGTTATTAGAGAAAAAAGTGTGATAATAATGCGCCCTGTCCATCATCAATACAATTTGATGCACTTGATTTGTGGTCTTTTAGTGCAATTAGTTAAAGTTTTTATGAGATTAAAATAACTAAGTAGATCCTAATACAGACAGAGACCTTGCGGATATTATATTCATTGCTATCCGTAGTTACAAGAAGTCCATGCTACTCAAGTACTTACGGGTAGGTACTAGTAATGTAGGTAACGCGGACAATCTCTAAAATCAGTCAGTACTTTTGGAGATTATCATTCACATGAAAAAAAAGCAAATCATTTCCCAAAAAAATAACAGTCAAAAGGATCTTCTCTATCTATTGTGCTTTTAATAGTTACTCGTACACTCACAGTAGTGCTATAATTATTTTTATCTACACTCAGTTCGTAATATTCGTTTTACAGAATCGAAAGTACGAACATAATGAACTGCATTAAGAATATACAGCCTTTAAAAAAAAACTTTCATACTACTGGCAGCTACATAAAGTAACATGCCATCAGTAAGTCGAATGAAAAAAAAACAAGTGTCAACCGCGGTGGGACGACACTTGAAATTATGAGGACTTATTTATTATTAAATCTTTGCTTCAAATCATTTTTCGAATTAAAATTCACCGATAAATGCTATTTAATTTTAAAAGTTGTTCAGTTTTTATGAGCCTCCATTTTAACGTTTAGTTAAAAAGTTACTTATGTACATAAGTCGTTCAGTTGGTGGTTCAGTAGATAGGCTTGCAATCGCCATAGTGCAGTGCGGAGGTATAAATTATTTTTCATAGTTTTTCTTATAGAGTGTAGATAAAATAGTGTATGCAACTGCAAATAATTAGGCTTTAGAATGCTCGTGTCAAACTATTATCACACTCGGCTGCATAAACAGACACTCTCATCCTAAAGCCTCTCATTATTAGGCAGTTGCATAAACTACTATTATAGATCGTCGCTTGGAGACGAGCATCAAAGGGTTGAAATTTGGCAAGCATCGATCGGTGCATCGATAGCTCAGTGGCAGAGCAGTGGGGTGTTGACCCATGCGGCCCGGGTTCGAGCCCCGATAGATGCATCACACATTTTCAATTTCTTATTTTCATTTACAGGAACTTCTCATTACATTGCAGACATATTTCGAACCTCAAAAGTGTTACCAAACTTACGTGCTAAGGTTAGTGACAAAACATGAAATGACCATACTTATGAGGCACTGACCGTTGACGGGCACGACGGCCTTCGCGCTGGAGTCGCGGTACGTGCCGTTGATGATGGCGAGCTCCATGAGTTGACGCTTCTTCAGTTCGTCTTCGCCGTCCGCTTGCTGGAAGGTAAAGGGTGGTAAGTTGGTTTATAAAGAAAGTCAAATGAAAAGTAAATGTTTCAGGAATTGAACGTGAAAAAGAAGAATAAAAAATATGAAAGATTGGTATCATGAGTTGATTTATAAAAATAATAAAAGCTTCAGGAATTGAACACGATAAAGAAGAATAAAGAATCAAACTTTATTTAGAAGAAAACTTAGGCATTGCAATAGAAAACTTCAAGAAAGCTAAAAACTAAGTTATTTTTACTGAGCCAAATTATTAATTTACATAACAATTTTCAGAAAACTGTGACAATAAAGATTAGGTAGGCCTAGCAACAGCAGGTTGGTGAAGATAGATTTTCAAGCTAATATTTATAAAAAAAAAATACAAATAAAACTAAACAAAATACTGAGATAAACTTTATTATTGAGATGGTGCCTTGTAGTGCCTTGTACTATTGCGCAGGTGTGATTTAACGACTAGACAAAACTATAATAAAATGTTAGTGGTTGTTTTATGTTCCTACGATTTATGATCTCTTGTCCATTCATAAATCTTCTCTTCACTTGTTCCTTGATTATGCAATCGGGTTGATGTTAAGACATGGTTAGAACGTAAGTAAGTGCTAAATGCAGATTCCAACTCATCAGTAATTTACTACAGATTAACAGTACCTAATTTATCGATTTAAAATAATTTGTGCTTATCTAGCTTGCCAACATGTGCACTAGGAGGAATTCGTAAGTCAATGATGTCGTCTGATCAATGAGGGAGCCAGTAGTCCAGGGCCAGATTATTGAAGAGAAAAATAAAAATGGCGCTGTCTATCGCCATATATCTACATGGGCATGGAGCGCATCATCTATAATTCTTTTTCAATAAAGTGGCTCTGGACAGTTCCGCATTACACCCATTATATGCTTTAATAGGTGGTTTGAAAACTCTGATATCGGGTTTATTCCTGATGAACAAGACGTAAGGATGACAAAAGTTTGTTAGCAGGTTTCAAAAAATAGCTGAAAACAACTTACGGGTATAAGCAGGCGTTTGACTTCCTCGACAGCCCTGGCGAGCTTTATCTTGGCTCTGTTCTCAGTGTCTTCGACTGTCAGCAGCACGTGCAGATCGTCTGCTAGGTGCTCCCAGTTCGGCTTACCCCGATTCGCGTCCTCCTGGAAAGTTTAAAAGGAAATTCTTAGTGGAGTTCCTCAAGGTAGTGCTCTGGGGCTGGCATATTTAAATTGGTATACTCTTAAGATTAGAGATAAGATATTGACGTACTCAAGATAGATCTTACAAATCAATTTGTTGTACGTTGTTTGACCTGGCATTTGCTCAAATCAATATATTTTATAATGAAAACCAATTGTGTCATGAATATTGAGCTAAGATAATATTGATTAATTACAGAATATTTAATTTATTGAAAAGTATGAAGTATTGAGTCTCAATTACCAAGAAATACACGATAACTATAATTAAGCTAAAATACTACACTTGCAATTAGTGTCTTGAGTAATTTGATGACATCAACGCTAGAATTAAAGTGCAAACAGGTCAAATCTAAAGTTAGAAACCTGATTTCACACAATGTTCCGATTCCCAGATGCAGCTGCTTGAAACAAATAAGCATTAGTTGTTAGCAAAAATACAATTCAAAGCATTAATTATGGAAAAAACTAGAGCACTAAACTAAACTTAATTATATACCAATAGATTGGCAAAGTTACTTTTTCACAGGCTTTACCTATTTGAACATTGATGATATATTATATTAACCACAAAAAAAAACAAATTCTGGACCTTCCTGGTTTTATAAAGAGTAGTAATTTATGTTATGCCAATTAGGAGGATAATGTAAACATCCAGTGCATTTGTAGATAAAGCAAATGTGACATACCTACTTAAATGCATTCCCTCAAAAACAAATAATAATAAAAGTCTAACTAGGTCGTTCACTCAATTAGTAACAGAAGCAGGAAACAGTTTGAAAAACCTTTTTCCTCCAGTTTGGTGAGCCCACCCACACCCTCATTATAGTCTATACTGACTACACCGAGATGTCTCTAACATGAGATGGGTTATATTATGCTTATATTATTGTGCTATTGCTTTTGGCAAAACAAACCCAGGCAGTAATTTGTACCCACTATTCTCCAGTGCGGATTATTGACGACGTTTAGTAACATACGGAACACACGCTAGAAATCCTGTTTTACCTTTTTCTTGTCCCTCATGGAGCCTTTGCCTCTGACCATGATTTTGCATCCTGTTTCTTGCTCCAGCTGCTTCGCGGTCATGCCTCTGGGCCCTAGGATCCTTCCCACGAAGTTGAACTGTAAAGATAGAAAGTTCATCATTAGAAACTTAATCATTGGGTACTGTGGTAAAAGTAAGAATTCTCACAATTATACCATTATCATCGAAAAGTTGAAGAGAATAAAATTTGGATTGTAAAACCAATTCAAAGGCCTTACACTAATACGATAGTCTAACGAATGATAATATTCGATGGACCGATGACTTTCAAGGCGGCTGATAGCGACTGGGTGGCAAAAACGGAAGATCCTGCCATGAAGTACCCTGAGGGAGTCCTACGTATAACAGTAGCCGGCTATAGGCCGATGTGTATGGGTGTGTGTGTGTGATGTAAATATCGCTTAGCGTAGATTAATTACTCGCTTCAATAAGCACAAACTATAGTTTGCTTATACGTATAACCTAAATCCTAAGCTTCAAAGCATCGGTCATCGTATTTGAACTGTGAACCAGTATCGTCCTAGCGTCCGCGTGTAAAGTCAAGAAATGGACCAATTGGCAACCAGCCAATCCGAACCACACAGCTTTTCACACTAGTTCTTTTCTAAAGGGATATTTGAAGAAATGTAAAATAAATTCTAAGCGTAAAAGTTTCAACAAAACACTGCGTCACGTGCGTTATGCATGGTTATTTGTGTGACAGCGTGCAAATTGGTTCAGCTCTGCGTTCAAACTGAAAAGTTAAAAGATCGCAATGTCATTGACATTACTGAGTTCCATTTCAAACAAACTGAAGGTCGCGTCTTCGTGAAATATAGTGGCGGTATCGTGATACCATTCAACATTGTGTTTGATTGCGCATATTTCATTTTCTGACAGTCGAGAAATACTAGATGCGGAAATGGGTGCCTTGCCTTAACAAGATCAGGACGCCGCTATCTGTCACGCTTCACCAACTGTGACGGCTTAGATGACAACGGCTAATTCACTACTAGAACAAATGGATCGGATTTGGCATGAATCATGTTCAATGATAAATGGACCTCACATACCGCAGAGCTTAGACAGATCATAAATATGTAATAGCAATATAGCCTGATATTTCCTAACCCTTTCATCTTGGTATTATTTGTACGATCGCGGTCTAAACAACATAAAATGCTGGCTGTAATCTGTGAATGATCATAATTTTGAAGGCGGTCTTACCGCCAGTTAGTGGTTCGCCACAAAGCGCGTGAACGACGAAGACTTCCTTTGACAACCGACTTTCTTTACCGTGGGAGGGCCTCGTAAACATCGTGTTTATTAACATGTTCATGTTTGTGGCGCCGTAGGCTTTGCCACAGGTGATGAAAGTATAATAAACTTGAAAGACATGCATGAATGACTAATAGGTCGAAAGACAGCAATAAATAAACTAACTGCTGTCGGTATGAATCCAAACACATTTTATACACCTTAAGAAAATGTAGAAGAAACCGGAATATTGTACAAATAAAACATTTCTATGATAACAGTTTATTTTAAACAAAGCTGAGAAAAACAAGTCGTTTTGTAATGGAAACCAACGTCCCACTTGGCAGAAAGTTTTACGACGTCTAAGCCAAAACCGCTAATAAATACCACCAAGGAAAATTTTATGAATGACCACCAATGAGCTGCGACAAACAGTCGTCTCCAAATCGCTGGAAACAAAACGAAAAGCGATTGCTGGAAATTTTGAACAAATACTTTAGTTACATAGGCACAAGCTTTTAGAGGCGAAAAATCTTAGACACCAATTATTTACTTGTTTTCTACCTAGTTATATGGATGATGTGATGACTAGTCGCAGCTTCAAGTAACGCGGATGTTTCGTCCCGTTTCAGCAGCAGAAGAAGCAACTACTTAGCTGATTATAATCATACAAGGTATACTTGACTGAAATATAATCCAGAAATCGAAACCACCAATAATATGGAAAAATTCCCTTCATTACTACCAATGGGCTGTGACTGTGACAACCTTTTCCCAATTGCATGGGACAATGCGACCGGACGGACGTCGGGCGTGTTGAAATAGCGTCGCGCTCTTTGGCGCCGAGCCCAGCTTTTTTTTCACTTTATGCATTTTCCCCCTCGCTGGCATTCACCAATAACAATATGTCCGTGGCAGAACTCATTAGTGCATTGTGACCAGAAATATATGTCTACTGCTCTAAAACTTCAGTCAAATTTGTCTTCCGCGCTCATAAGTTTGGAAGGATGATTGGTGGTCAGGCAAATTGAATATGCAGTTTCGTTATGATGAGTAAATTGCCTAGGAATTTGGGGTTGTAAAAATTTGGGTCCCCTAAATAAATATGCAGTCAGTTTTTGTCTTAATGCCAACGCTGTTAATTATGCAAAACATTCCACTGGAAACATTTGCCAAGGAAATTATACTGCCATTAGTTACAAATCACCTAAAAGTCACTGGGTGTGGTATCCCGCTGGTCATGTTTATTTTTGCTACAACATCCAGACAA